ATGAGGCAAGACATTCAAGACAAAAGAGGAGGAGGAGAAGCCATTAAGCTAAGTGATAAAGTCCCACTTATTTATTTGGGACTTTGAAAGATTTTTTTTTCAAAGGAGTAACCATGTAACTCTGTGCGAGCATATCAGACCAAAAACAATGGTGGCCCCATCTGCAAGAGTGGGTTCTCCACCTCTCAGAGAGATACGGCTGAATTCCCTACTCACTGCTCATGTGTACACTGGGGTGTTCGCAAGGGGTGTGTGGATGATGCCCTCGAGGCTGCAGGTTTGACCATGGGGGAACTGGACTTAAGGAAGAGGGAGAGATAGGAGAGGACTGTTGGGTGGACACCATAGATGGGAAGGCATATGAGGCCCCAAACAAACTGGAACAAGTTCAGAGGATTGCAGAAAGGATGATCAGGAGGATGGAAACCAAGCCCTAGGTGGAAAGACTGCAAGAACAGGGGAATGTCTAGCCTTGAGAAAAGAAGACCGAGGGGAGATATGATAGCATTTTTCAAATACATATCGAGGAGGGGCAGGATCTGTTTTTGATCGTCCTACAGTGCAGAACACCTAATAATGGGCTCAAGATACAGGAAGCCAGTTGAGGAAGGGCAGGATCTGTTTTTGATCGTCCCACAGTGCAGAACACCTAATAATGGCTCAAGATACAGGAAGCCAGATTTAGGCTGAATATCAGGACAAGCTTCTTAACTGTTAGAGCAGTATGGCAATGGAACCAGTTACCTTGGGAGATGGTAAGTGTTCCAATGCTGAAGGCATTCAAAATAAATTTAGACAATCACCTGACAGATCTGCTTTGATTTGTATTCCTGCACTGAGCAGGCGGTTGAACTCGATGGCCTTATAGGCCCCTTCCAACTCATTTACTGTATTTTATTATTCTAAGAGGTGCTACTGTTGACAGAGAAGTCGAAGGTTGGATGGGAGATTGTCCACAGACAGCATTTTGAGACTGGTTACTGGGTCGAGATAATTGTACCACCAGAGGAAGCCACTCAGGCTCACTGGGACCAGCCAAGGTGTCAAGAGGCTCACAGACTCAAGAACCAGCAGCGAGTTCACCATCAGAAGAAGAAGCAACAAGGGCAAACAACCTCACAGGAGATGCCCCACAGTCAACCTCCCTCCTGATACTGGGAAAGTCAGCCTTCTGCTTTTCCAAAGCCCGCTATGCAGGAGATGCCAGCCAGGCTGAGCCTCTCAAAAGGACTACCACACCTACTGGCTGCCAACTGCCAGCGGGAACTGCGGAGAGTGTGACTGGGGAGGAAACCGTTGCCATCTGCCTCCAGGGACACTTGATGGTGTGTATCCAACACCCTGATTGAGGAACCTTGTGCCTGGCCCACCTGCAAGGTGGGGCTCCACTCCTCCCAGTAAGAGATTATACTGTGGCACTGCCTCAAAGACTGAGGGAATTAAGTTAGCTCCATGGTGCCCTGAGTTAACAACAGTTTCATATTCATGGCCCTGTTGGCCTTTTATACATTCTGTTGCTCAATAAAGGAGCCTGTTTTATTAAGTACTCTCAGTATCATCATGGAAGGGGGCATGAGGTGAGACTGCTCACAGTCACCTTAAAAGACTAACTGTTAAAAGATTAAATAATTGTGAGGCTCCTTGGATCAAGATTGTACTCTCTCATATGAGTATCTAAGGAAATTGACCGGATCCATGAACGCTCATGTTGAAACATAACTCTTTAAGATGCCACAACACTTCCCCCCCCCCATATTTTTAAGTTCAGGTCTTTTTTGTTTTTGTCTGTTAATGTGTTAGCTTACTTTGGATGGTGATATACATCAAAACAATCTCTTTACATCTATTTAAAGAAACCAGAATCATCATCGCCACTACAACCATTAAGTTTAGTTTTGTAGTAATACTACTATTAGAGCATGAAACAGTTTTAATTTTAAAAAACATGGAAACATACTTCACAGTCTCAGAACATTAAAAGGTTGAACAATAATTTTGCAAGTTACATCATGATTCACAACTCTGAATGATTCCGTACAAGACCACCACTTCCCATAACCCATCCTTTCCCTTACTTTCAAGTAACAGAAGCAAGAATTAATTTCTGTGACAGGATATGAGACAACAGTACTAGTCTGAAGCTTTAAATGAGAAAGCAGAGCTGCTGCAAACCAGGGTGGGTTTGATTTAAATCAAACTAAATCATAATTTAAATTTAAAAAAACAATTTTTTTTATGATTTAAATTTTAAAAATAATTTTTATTTAAATTCTGATTTAAATCGATTTGATTTTTTAAAAAATCATTAATTTTTATCCTCCCTCCTACAAACCATTAAAGGATCAGAAGATGTAGTATCAGAGAAAGGAAGGCAGGAAGAGGAGATGTGGGCAGAAATGAAGACTCACATTGCAAACAAGTATGAACAGTGAACTCCCAATTCTAACCGCAGCCCCTGTGTGAGCACTTATTGTGATTCCAGATGTAATACAGGTTGAGAATCAAATCCCCCATGTAGTTGCACCTTTATTCCTGTCTCTTTAAACTTTGCAGAATTATACAACAAAGAAACATTACAGGCAGTTGCTTCCTAAAAAGTTCCTTAAGTTTAAGACTGTGCCTTAAACTCTACATAGTGCTGTCTGAGATTTTTTTCATGATGTGTCCCTTTTGCTGAAATTAGATAAGGAGCTACTATTCTCTAACTGTTGCTACAACTTGGTGACCATCTGTGTCACCCAAATACAAAATACTACAAGTCCAGATAGCCTAATAACTCATGTATTATCTCTGGGAATCTTTTAACGGATGTGGAAGTAACAATTACATACTAACCACAATTACTGACTTCTAAAGTTCTCCATGAAATCTGCATGAAATCTAAGTCAGCTGTCAAATGGAATACAGTAATAATCTCAGTTACGGGTATTAGCACCACTTTCACTAGTCCTGTGAATATGACACAGCACACTCCTTTCTAATGGGACCTGTACCACTGATCTCAATGTGGCCACTCTCGGCACAGGACTGTCTCCTAATGAGGTGTTGACAGAATGAGACTAATTTGAGAAGTGTCTCGGCACAAAGCAGCTGAAGAAAAACATTTCCCCAACTGCTATTATAGTCACAAAAACCATTCCTTGCAAAAGTGGAAAAACTACCTGTTCACAACGGATCTCAAAAGGTCAAGAAGAGCAACCAACTGCTCAGGAGACTTGCAATGAAAAGACAGCAGAAGAAGATTGCCAAAAGCTATAGACTGCATTATTGACCACAGTTACAAACTACAATAATAAAGAATAACTCTACAGTTTAAAAGAAAGGCCAGCACAAAAAGAAAGTTATTTTCAAGGAGTTGTTTCACAAATTATTCAGTATAGTGAACTGTGGAATGAACTGTTCGTAAAAACTTACAACCTAAAACCTAAGCTTATCATCAAAACACTAACTAGGTGAAGACACGTCTATTCTCAAAATAAATGAAAGAATGTAAGAACAGTCCTGCTACACCAGAGCAAAACCATATCAAGTACAGCATTCTATCTCCGCAATGCACAGATAGCTCTTGGAAGTGCAGGAAATAAGCGCAATAGTACATGTTCACTAGCCTTAAGTACATACACATTATTTGTTTAGTAATATTTAGTAATTTAGAAGCATATGAATTAGATTAAAGATTAATTTGGCCTGAAATAGCTAGTCAGATATTTATGGAAAATTCCCAAGAAGGGCATGATGGCTATAAACATTTAGCATTTGTCTCAGGTATCTGGCAGCCACATCTATTGTGATTGAAATGAGAACGTTTTTTCTAATTTTAAATCACTCTTTTATCACCTAGGGCATTTTGTTGCATTAAGAATCATGGAACAGCATTCAAACTCAACTTTGCCAGACAAATGCATATTCTCAACCTTTCGCATTGCTAAAATAACCTTTGAATTATACCTAGCTGATGAATTAGGTCTTGCCTGTGAAAATCCAATGCCAATGACTTTAAACATTCTTGTACATTATAATTCCTTTCCTGCTATAACAGAGCAGCAGAACTAGGGCTCTACATTTTGTTCCTCAACATCAAACATTGTCTCTAAATATTTCCAGGGACCCATTTACATGGGAATGTGAACAATTCTCTCTTTTCTCTACTGAGACCAAGTGGCGCGTTTTTCCTCCAACAGTAGCATGAGCCTAATCCTCATTAATATAGCAAATGCATTTAGATTCTCTTTGGCTAAGCAAAATCTGCAGTGTTAATCATCAAACAGGATGCTATGGAATTTGTCCTTGGCCTTGAAGTATTATCCTCTTATGTGTCTGGTCTGGAAATAATAGCAACAGATGTGCCAATGGTAAGGATTCTTCTGTCAAGGCTTGCGTCCTTCCGCTGCCCCGCCCCACCACTACTAATAAGCACCTCTATTCATACTTACACATTTGGAACATAATGAAAGAAACTTATTAAATGTGGTAAAATTCTGCAGATATAGTACACGCCATTGTGATTCTGCAGTGTAAAAAGCACATCTGCTACAGCATATATCCCACTAGATACAGGAATTTACAAGCCTTTGTAAGAGGTTTCCCAATACAGGGACTTGCGTACTTCTGGGAAAGTCTTACCTCGTACTACAAATTACTGCCCCTAGTAACTGGTGCTAATATAACTGTATTTTCAAGAAGACGTTAAGCTTGTGCCAATGGAAATTGTGGCTAGCTTTGAAAAATCCAGTTCTTCATTAACTGCAATATATCTTGAACAACTAAATAACTCAAGCCTGCACAACCAGCCAGCAGCAACATTTCTGAGGAACACAATATGACTGATTACTATGGAGTTAAAGTCAAAACAAAGCACAAAACATCCGTACCTGTTCTGTGCCCTCCCATGTGACTCTCATATTTACTAAGAAACAAAATTCACATCTGCCTGTGCCAACTTCTTAGGTGAAAAGACTACCAGTATCTGAAAATGACCAAAACCAAAAATACTTCCTTACCTGAAACTGATACTTTCATGATGGCCTCCAGGGGCCTGTTGTTGTCCAGATCTCGGCTGAGCTTCAGTTCTCCAGTAGCAGAGTCCAAAAGCAGCAGATTTAACTCATTGCCTTGGACAAAGGTGTAATCAAGTTGGTCAGATATATCAGGATCATGGGCAGGGATCTTTCCAATCACTCCTGAAGGAAAGCTGTTGGACTTGTTGGTGACATAATTGTTGAAAAGGATCTGGAAGTCTTGTAAAACAGGAGGGTTATCATTCTGATCCCGTAAGCGGATGTGAACAGTAGCTCGGCTCACAAGAGGGGCTGAGGTAGCTTGCACTACAATTACATACTCAGTCTGGCTCTCGTAATCCAGATCCATCAGGGCTGTCAGATCGCCATTAAGGAGGTCAAGCTGGAAGACCTCAGGGATGTTCCCTTCCACAATCTGATACATGATCTGTGCATTAGTTCCTTCATCTGGGTCTACAGCACTGATCCGGGCCACAATGGAACCAACAGGGCTGTTTTCCTCCACAAATATGTCAAATTCATCTTGTTCAAACACAGGTGGGTTATCATTGATATCCAACACAGTGACCTGGATCTCCACAGAGGCTTTGAGAGGTGGGCTGCCCCTGTCCACAGCAAAAGCCCGCAGGGTATAGACAGCCACATTCTCACGGTCCAGCTTGCGCAACGTCCGTATCACTCCTGATGTGGCCTCAATGTAAAAGTCTCCATCACCATCATCACCACCCTGGAAGGTATAAAGGAGGCGGCCATTCGGCCCTGAGTCACGATCAGTAGCAGACACTTGCAAGACACTAGTGGAGAGAGGCACATCTTCAAAGACAGCACCCTGATAGCGGTCACGAAGGAAACGGGGAGCATTGTCATTGGCATCCAGAATGAGGATCTCAACGTAGGTAGTGTCAGATTTCTGAGGGATCCCATTATCCTGAGCTGTGATGGCCAAAGTGTAAGAGGCCTGATCCTCATAGTCAAGTTCCATCAAAGTTGTGATTGTGCCTGTGTCTGGATCAATACGGAACTGGGGGATGCTGTCCTCCATGATGTAAGTGATCCTAGCATTTTCTCCAGTATCCTCATCAGTGGCGACAATAGTTACAATGGATGTTCCAATGGGCTTGTCTTCACTGACACTCACTGTATAATGGGAACTCTGGAAAACTGGCCGGTGTGTGTTGGCATCGGTGACATTAATGAAGACCTGGACAGTGTCAAACAGAGTTCCATCTGAAGCAGTGACTGTCAACACATACTGCCTCTCTTGCTTGTAATCCAGGGGCAAGGCCAGTGTAATCAGCCCACCTGCACTCTGGCTAGTGATAGAAAAACGGTTCCTCGTGTTGCCACTAGTGATCTGGTAGGTCACCACACTGTTCACATCCTTGTCCACTGCTGTCAAGGTCAAGACACTGCTGCCTACTACTGCATCTTCGTTAAGCCTGAGCTGATATACTTTTTCTGTGAAAGTAGGACTGTTGTCATTGACATCAAGGACGGTGATAGACACACTGGCTGAGGAAGTCATGACGGGCACTCCTTGGTCTCTGGCCTCCACCCCAAAGTGGTAATTCTCCACCGTCTCCCTGTCAAGCTCAGCTGACACTGTAATCCAACCCGTACTATTGTTGATCTGGAAGGGGAACCCCATGTCTCCACTTGCGGACATCAGAGCAATAGGATGGGACAGCTCAATGAGCCTGTACTCCAAGCGGGCGTTATCCCCCGAGTCCGCATCTACTGCCTGAATGTGTAACACTGAATAGCCTACAGGGACATTTTCTAGTACAGTGGCTTGAAAGGGTGTACTTACAAAAATGGGGGCATTGTCATTTACATCTAACACTTGGATGGACACCATCCCACTAGAGTTGATCTGTGGAGGTCTTCCCCCATCCTGGGCCTTGATCCTTAGGGTATACTCTCGAATAGTTTCATAGTCCAGAGGATTAATCAAGTCAATAGAGCCAGAGAAAGAGTGGATGTAAAACTGGCCTTTCAGATTGCCACTCACAATGCTATAGTGAACCTGGGCATTGCTGCCGCGGTCTTGGTCAGTGGCTTGAACCTGGAGTACCTGGCTGTTCACTGGGGTGTCCTCAGGGATCTGTACTATATAGCGTTTCTCACTGAACTGTGGAGCATTATCATTCTCGTCTTCCACCGTGATATGCACCATTACTGTGGCACTTCGAGGTCCTGGATCTCTACCCTGGTCATTAGCTTCTACTACAAGGTGATACTCCGAAACCTCTTCTCGGTCTACAGGGGCACAAGTCTTTACAATGCCAGAGTGTGGGTCAATCTCAAAGACTCCTTCTCCAGCACCTGCTTCAAGGATACGATAGAGCAAGTTTGCATTGTCCGGGGCATCCTCGTCTGTAGCCCGAATCGTCAGCACCTCGTAACCCACCTCAAGATTCTCTCGAATGTTCTCCCGGTACTCAGGCTGTTCAAACACTGGACCATGGTCATTGGTGTCACTCACGGTCACAGTCAGAAAGGTGATAGCTGATCGATGTCGTGGGGTGGCATGGTCCGTTGCTATCACTTGAAGCACATGAGTATCCTTGGTCTCTCGGTCCAGGCTACGGGTGGTGACCACTACTCCTGTCTCAGAACTGATGGAGAAATAATCATCGGAACGCTTGTCAAAGAAGGCTTCCATGGAATAAGTCAACCGGCCTGACTCACCCTCATCCGGGTCATGAGCTTCTAAAGTGATAACTACAGTGCCCGCAGGCTGATTCTCGGCAATTGATACTTGGTAGTTTGGCAGCTTGAACTGAGGTGGGTTGTTCACGCTCCTCATCCTCCGGGCCCCTCGATGCCAAGAATCCCAGCTTCCTTTCCTCCCAGGCCAGGACCACTGAGAGGCAACTTCCCTCACTTTCAATGTGCTTTGCCTTTCTTCTCTATCCGCCGCCTCTTTCCTTCTTGCCACAACCGGACTACCCAACTCAATGATAAGGTCCCCCTCAGCCCTCCTCAAGCGACAAAGAAGCTGCAAGGGGCTGGTCCCTGAAAATAGCTGGCAGTCCACTCCTCCTCCCCCCCATGTGCCCTCCAGGCCTCTGCAGTCCAAGGGGAGGCCATTGGGGCATCTACACTGAGGGAAAGTTGTCAAGGTCATGAGGGCAGAGAGGAGCATTCGCTCCCCATCCACCTCGCCCACCTCTGGGGGCACTTGCTTCGTCGGGGAAGAGGGGAAGCAGAGTAAGGAGGGCAAGCGCCGCCTCAGGGAATGGCCCAGGGAGCTAGAAAGCCGAGCCGCCGCCGCCGCCGCCCAGCCCTTGCCGCCCTGCCCTTGGCGGGACGCGTTGGGACAGCCAGGGCCGTGCAGGTAAGCGGGCAGGCGAAGTGAGAGGAAGACGCCGCCGCCGTCAGAAGAAACCACCCGCAGATGGAGCGGCAGCGGGTTGCGCGCCAAGCCCGCGCACTCCAGGGGCTTCTTCGTTCTCCTCAGCAGGCCGTCGCGCGTCACCTCCACGGCGTCCCTCAGCGGCCAGGGCGTGAGCGTCTCTTCCAGGGCGCACCGCCACTCGGGGCCCAGCGCCAGGTCCAGCAACAAGTCGTCCCCGGGGCCGCCGGCGGCCGCAAGGTGCAGCTCCCAGCCCCCCGCGGCGGGCACCAGCAGCGCCAGCCACGACAGCCAGGCGGCCACCGGCCAGCGGAGCAGCATCTCCGAGGCTTACGAAGCAGGGATGGCGGCCGAAGGGCTGCTCCACAGTCCATCCACCCCGCTGAGCTGCTCATCCGGCCTCGTCCATGAGAGACGCTGCGCCAGGGAGGGAAGGAGTTGCCGGGGCGCCCCGTCGCTCCCCTCAAGAGATCCCCCAACGGCCACGGATCGGGGCGCGCGCCGGAATAAAAGAGAAGCGAGCAAAAGAAAACTTTCGCCCACCTTAAAAAGTTATTTTGTTTTCCCCCCCTTTTCTTTCCAAAATGGCTCCTCGCCGCTGCCAAAGCCTGCTCCGAAGAGAACCTGCCGCTCGCCTTGTTGGACGAGACTCAGCCCGGGTGGCGACTTCCCCGCGCGCCGCTCCGCAAAGCAGACCCCGTCCTCCTCCTCGCCATCGCGCCGCTCAGCCTCAGCGGCCGCTCCTCGGCTCGTCCTGTCGCGGGGCAGCGACTCCTAGTCGGGCGCCCCGAACTCCCGGCACCGTGGACGAGGTGCCCCTCTGGCCTCGCCTAGATCCCCTCCACAAACACACACACACACAACCCGCGTCGGGAAGCGCCTCGGGTCTATTCCACAGCTCGGTCAATTCTTTTGCGGTCCACGCTCGTGGTAACGCTTGCTCGGCAGCCAGTATTTTTTTCTCCGCCACTTCTTCCCCGGGAGTTTGCGTTGCTTGCGTTGGGGGTAAATCGGAATCCCTGCTCAGTCCAGCAATGGATCCGGAACGATCTGGGCAGATTGCCTTCTTTCTCCCTTTTCCCGGCGCGAAAGCCTCGGTGGGATCGCCGCTACCAGTTGCGCCTCCGCCTTCGGCCCGCTTGCCAAGAGCGTTGTTGTCGGCGGAAAAGTTTTGCTTCCCTTTTTCCCCTCCGGCCGGGCGCAGGGCGACATGTGCGCGCTCGGCTAGCAAGCGAGCGGCGGGGAAAGTTTTTTCTTTTTTTCCCAGGCGGATCGGCTCTGGGCGATTTCCTGCGGCTGCTCCTCTTTCGGCTTTTTTTTTCTTCCTCTCCTCCCGCTCCTTTCCTCTTTCATGTATTGTTATCCCCCACAATGACTGCAAGGTGCCGGTTGTTAAAATCCCTATGGAGACCGCAGATGGGTCGCTCAAGCTGTCCCCCCGCTCGGCCCCCACTCACCCCCCCCCCCGCAAGAGCCCGGGAGGCTGCGGTCAATGCCCGCGGC